TTCACTCTAGACACCTCTACCACTCTGATATCCCTAAATTTCCCTTTATAAATACTCAGTGGGTCTCCCCTGATTACCAACTTCAGTACAGGCTTTGTACATGGCATCGTGGTCTTCTAAACATGAACCTACCTATCAGCTTTGTTTCTCTACACACACTTCCTGATCCAAGTAATCGATACCACTTGCTTTCCTCCTAGTCAATGCCTATCTTCATGTCTTCAATATTTGTAACCTCTACGTGGGGGAACCCTACTCATCTTCCAGGGTCTGTCCCTAGTGTCCCCTCCATAAATCCTTTTCTCTTTAAAAAAAATTTTTTTTTGTTGATTTCAGAGAGAAAGGAAGAGGGAGATAGAAACATCAATCATGAGAGAGAAACACTGACCAGCTGTCTCCTGCACAACTCACATTGGGGATCAAGCCCGCAACCCAGGCATATGTCCTGAATGGGAATCAAACCGTGACCTTCTGGTTCATAGGTCAATGCTCAACCACTGACCCACACCGGCCAGGCAATGACTTCTTTTCGGACTCCCCTGTAACTCCACATGGCTTCCCATTCCTCTGAACCATGCCATGTTGCTCACACCTTTCCTATGGCTTTTATATTATGCTATCCTTTCCCCTCTCCAGGGGTAGATGGTGAACCCTTTGAAGGCAGGAACTATATTTTTCTCATTGTTTCATCCCCTGATGGGCTAGCACAGTACCTTGCTCATTGGACTTACTCAATATCTGTTGAACTGTGAAGAAAATCATATACTTTTTTATAGAAAATAAGTGTGAAGGCAAGTGAAGTCATTTTTGGCTCAAGTTTTTAAAAAAGAAGGCCTCTAGTTCACTCAAAATACTGTTACTCACTCTTAACAAGTAATCAACAGCCAGTAAATTACTCAGCCAGAGAATGTAATTCAAAGCTGTAGCATACATAACTATGAGTCATGCTGGCAGCTGGGCAGGTCTGTCCTGCTTGTAAGGAAAAGAACATTCATCTGAAAAGACTATGGAGCAGCCACAAAAACGAACAAGTTAACCACAGTGTCAGATGTCACAGCTGGACAAACTGCCCGCAGCAGTGGTTTCCAAGCAGGGCAGGTGGCGCATTTATATGACAGAGGCAAGAGAACACGGCTGATAAGGCCGACACTCTAAAGCTTCAGAAAGTCAGCCATGTCAAGCCAGCCTCGGATGGGCTCCTTGTAGCATGCTCTCCACAGGGATGAGTATGAAGGAGGGGGTGTGTGAGAGATATGGATGTATGTTTTGTTTTTAACATGCTGCATGTTGCCAGTAAAAGCAGGAAAGTGCTAATGCATATTAAATAATGTACAAAACTTAGGGGTGTTTTCTTTGTTGTTGCCATTTTTTTTTTTCCAGAGAAAATTCTTGACTGTCCACATTGTCATTTATTAATAACTCCCTAGAAATTATTCATTACTCTACATTGAATTTTATGTGCTCAAAGAGGAATGAAGCCTGTTTCATTTTTTTAAAAAAGTCTGAGAAAGAATCAAGTTTAAAAAATAATCTGTATTCAGTTTTTTAAAAGTTTCTGGGGGTTACCATGTTTGAGTATTTTGAAGTATAAAAAAAGGTTTCTCACTAGCAGAGAATTTTAAAGAGGGGTTTGCGAGCATCTGCTAAGATGGCCCTGGGTCCTTTTATTTGATTGGACATACATACATAGAGGAATGACAAACAGAAATTTGCAATAATCCCATTTCTAGGAACTGCTCTGGTTGTGCAAGAAAGAAGAACATGGGGAACAATTGGCAAAACATGGGAGAAGGAAGGAAGGGAGGGAGGGAGGGAGGAAGGAAGGAAGGAGAAAAAAGGGAGGAAAGAAGAAAAAAGGAGGGATGCACTGTGGAAAGGAAGGAAGGGAGCGAGGGAGGGAGAGACAAAGACAGACAGAAAGGAAGGAAAGTGCAGGAGAGCAAGGAAGACTCGGAGAGCTGGAAGGGTTGCAACCGTTGTGTCTGAAATTATCAAAGGCGAGATGAAGGCTTTGCCATTGTGGAAGATGATGCAGATAAGGCCGTGTGTGACATTTATGTTTTGCAAAAAGCAACAGAGACATCAAAGTTAAATAGCAACTGAAAACATTCAAATGTGCCATATCAATATAAACAGCCAATAAGAGTTAAGTTTCTAATGCCATTTAAGTATAATGCCAGTCCTTAGAGACAGGTATTGTTAGAGCTATTTTAAGAATTATGTAATTGAGGGTTAGAGAGGGTAAATAACTGGTCTAAGATCTCATATCTGTTAATAAAGCCAAGGTTTGAACCCTGGAAGATTTCATCCATCCATTTCATCCATCCATCCATCCATCCATCCATCCATCCATCCATCCATCCTCTCGACAGATATTAACCAACAGAGAACTACCAAGCTCCCAGTTGTCAGTTACTCAAGTAGCTGGTGAGGAAAACAGACATATTCCTTGCTCTCAAGAGCTTATCTTCTAGTAAGAAAGGTAATCAATAAACAACTAAATAAACCAATATCTAGTTACAAAACTTGATGAATGCTATGAAAGAGATGGCCAGAGAGCAGTCATAAAAATAAAGCAGGGCATTACCAAGTTGGACAGCATGGCTAGAGAGGTTCAACTGGGACCTAAAGGATGGGAAGGAGCCGGCCTCAAGAAGGGAAACTCATTCCTGAGGAGGGAAGAGCAGGCGCAAGGAACCGGGAAGAGCTGACACAGCTGGCAAGGAGTATCGTAGCAGATGAGGTTGGCAAGGCAGGGAAGGGTCCCGGCATGGGGCTGCTGATGGTTAGGAATGTGGGTTTTATTTCAGGTTCACTGGGAAGGCAAAGAATGGTTTTAGATAAGCTACATTAGTGGGCCCAAACACCACACTGCTTCTGTGTGAGCAAGGTAGGAGGCAAGGGTAGAAATGGAGATACAGGAAGGAGGCTCTTGCAAGATTCTAAGAGAGATGGGGGCCTGGACTCGGGTAGTGGCGGTGGAGATGAGAGAAGGGCACTCAGACATGATCTGGGACATAGTTTGGTGGCAGCAACGAGAGGTCTTGCAGACAGAATGGATGTGAGGGGTGAAGGAGAGGGAGGCAGGGAGGATAACTCTAATCCTGGGCACTGTGCTGCCTTGTATGTCATCTGATTTTCTTAACATATTTCTTATATAAAAAAGTGAGCTAGATTTATACTGGTGTTTGAAAAGACTCTTTTATAAATAACTCATGTGCTAAAAATCTCAGCTTCTACACCGAGCTCACCCTTTGACTGTACTGTAACACGCACGGAGGCACACTGCCACACCTTGAGGTGTGTGCTGGGAGGAGAAGGGGCCCTCACACCAAACCACCTTGGGTGGAAGGAAGCACAGCTGTACCATCATTCTGCTAGGCGAATACAAAGAAGGCACAACGCTAAGTCTCAGACTTTACAAACACGGGTAAGAACTCTCTTACAGTTTCATTGTGCGAATGAAATAAGATAACTTATAGTAAGTTCAGGCATGTCGTGGAAAGTCAATACATGTTAGACCGTCCCCATCCTTTCCCCGTTACAGTGATGAGAAGGCCATCAGCAGGCTCTTGGAGAACCTCTATAACAGAGACGAGTGCTGTGACGGAGTGCTGTATTCTACTGGACGCACTGCAGAGGAGGGACTGCAGATCCTGTCATGGGTTCTAAAGGGTCCGTGCAGGGCAGTTCTAGCTCTATAAGAACTATCTTCACTGTGCTGACTAGAAGGGTTGCCGAACAAAATATAGGACATCCAGTTAAATTTGGATTTAAGATAAATAATAAAAATTTTAAGTATAATATGTCTCATATACTATTTGGGATATACTTATACGAAATGTTTCTCATTGCTATCTGAAATTCAATTTTAACTGAGAGACCCCTATTTCCATTTGTGAAATCCGGCAACCCTATAACAAAGCAAATTTCTACTTTGATTAGGAATAAATTGATCCAAGGTTCTCCCTTTATAGTTCCTTAATATGCTCTAACTCTTGTCCGTAGAAGAGGTTATGCCTCTCACCGTCATGGCTCTATACTTCTACACCTTCTATTTTTTCATATATTTCATTCACCCCCCTCTCACTCTTCTAATAAACATTAATGTCCAAAGTCTACTGAGTAGCACTATGTCAGGTACAAAATTTTACTTTGTGGTCGTAAAGAATGCTGCTGTGTGTGCGCGTGCATGTGTTGTGTTAACCTTTTAAAATGAGGATTAGTTAATAATGCATCATCAGGAATACATTTTGTGAGTTTTCTAGTAGCAGTGAATTAAATATGCATCCACATTAATGGACACGATTTAGATCCTAGAGGAATAGAACCAGTTATTGAATAAACTGAAAGAGAAAAGCTTTGAGTTCATTCAATAATTACCATCAATTGAAAGCTAAGACTTGGAAATCTTTTATTTTAAATTAAACTACATGAAAAGAATTTGAAAGTTTAGGCCATAATTTTATCGGTCTGCGTGCTCCCTTGGCATACTCACGAGTTTTGGTGTTGAGAGGAAAAAAATGAATGGACACATAAATATCTAGTTAATTGTATTAGTCTAGAGCAGTGTTACTATTGCTATTGTTCCACAACAAAATAAGGAGCTAGATCCAGAATGAAAAGCAGCACACCAACAAAATTTTGTCATGAGGTTGTCAGTTGAACTAAACAAAGTACTTAGTAGTTGATTTACATCCTGGTGCCAGCTCATTTCCTCACTGTGGACTGGTAACAAAACGCTCACAGACTGATGCCAGTCTGAGGACCAGATTCTGAGCAAGGCTCATGGGGAAGATCCCAGAATTCTCTACGACATACCTTCCATGTCCTAGCAGACATAAATGGAGAGATCTCTTCCTCTGGCCATTTTGCAGACCAAAGATCCTCTTATTTCCTTGAAATAAAGGCACAGATATTTTCTCCATTCTAAGCATCTAACTAAATATCTATCAAACAACAGCTGCCCCCGTTTTAGAAAGAAGAGGACGTGTGCTTACTCTTCTTGCCGTAGGTCATTGACGCTGCGGTCCAGGGAGATCATGTCACTTGCCACCATGTTAAATCCAAACTCTTTAATGCTGGCTTGAACTGCATGTTTGAGTTCTGGTCCCAAAACCAATGGCTTGGCATTCTCTCCAGGGCCACCAACCACTCCATGAGGCTCAGGTTCTTTGGGTTCAAAGTTACCGAGGACCCCGGGGCGTAGCACAGGATCCCGGTAGGTGAATGTCTGAGGCTTAAAAGTGAGATACTGCCTCTGCATTATGTCTCTCTGGTTCTCTCCTCCAGCATGGTGCTCTTGTTCATTTTTGGCCTTGTGTTTTCTTCTAATAGATTCTAAGTCCACTTCTACTCCTTCAACATGAGGCCAGGGTACCACAGGTTTGAATCTGTCATCCCCAGGAACTAGTCCATTGCCTCCTCGGTTAGGCATGGGGTTATTGACATCTCTGTCTTCCTATACAAAAGGGAGGGGGATATACAATGAGTACATGAAGGCAAACCACAGCAGAGTTCATGATACCAATTTTCATGTTTTAAAAATGGCAGAGGCAACAATAAAACGGTTTAAAGCATGAAACCGAAGCAGGCCAGTAATCAGGACTTTCCATGAGAAGATACCTTTCGGGGAGTGAAGGGCATGCCAAGAGATAGACTATTTCCCTGCTTTACCATCTTCAAGGAAATGCATGATGGATGCATCTTTTACTTCTCCCCTTCTGAAACTAACTCTCTACCAAAGACCTCTTAACAAAGCCCAGTGTTGTGGGGTAGAGCAGTGAAGTTCTAGGACCTTTGACAAGAATAGACACTTAATAGGTCACATCTATAATAATAAAAGAGTAAAATGCTAATTAGACCAGACATCCTTCCAGACGTTCTTCCAGATCACCTTCCAGACAAAGCCGGGGCTGTGAGGGAAGCCTTGGTCCCAGGTTCCAGAGGGAAGCCGGTGCCGGCAGCCAGGAGAAGGAAGGCCTACTCTTGCATGAATTTCATGCATCGGGCCTCTAGTTGTACAATATGTGTACAACATATTCCCAGCTGACCAGTGTACAACAAATATAGTTTTGTGTCAGTAATTCAGCCATATGGTGGCAGTGGTAGTAGATGCCACTCATCACTAGGCTGGCTTTGTGCCCCTAATGGCAGAGGAACAAGGCAGGCATATGCACCCAGCAGTCCCAATTTGGTATTTCCTACTCAGTGAAACCTCAGCTGAATTGAGAACTATTTTTTTTAAAAAAAAGCTCTAATAACTATAACCAAGTCAGTTTGGGCTTTTAAATCACACCCAACCCCTTCTTTTTCCCATTCCAGAGGTGACCCAGGGGAAAATAGGCTCTGCATGTAAGGAGACTCGGTAAAGGCTGCTCCCTTTTCTGTGTGGACCCTCCTCATCACGAATACTGATCTTCCAGTCAGGGACTCACAGTGCTTTTGCTCCCAAGGTGCAGTATATGGAGTTTCTGCTAAACCAGTACTGTTCTCTGCATGAAGCAGTCTTTTCAACCTGAGCATCACCCCAGGGGCTTTAAAAAGTACTGGTTTCCCACCCCCAGACTTTATGATTTAATTGTTCTGGGCATCCCGATTTTTAAAAGCTCCCAGGCGATTTCACTGTGCATCCGAGCTTGAGAACCTCTAGCTTAAAGGGAGAGCCGCTAGCTATAATTAGACCAGGGGAGTTATTGAGTATGCATAGCTGGGCAAGAGGCAAGGTGAATTGATAATGTGAATTTAGAACAACTGCAAACAGGCTAACTGGTTTACCACCTAACTCCACACTAAGATTGTGATCCTTTAATAGGTTCAAAATAGAATAGGTACCATCTGACCAAATGTTTCTACAGTGTTAGAGTTATCTTAAAAATAGAGGTGAAAGCTTTGCTTTAAAAGGTACAGAAATAAGGCTGTAGGTAGGATGTTGACAGGTAGGTTGTTATGTACTGGTAGTTTATTTAGGGACAAAGATCTCCTTTCAGAGTCAGTTAATTCAAATGTGAATTTAATTGATGTTGATGTTTTGGTAAGGACTAGCTAAGAACTGATTTTAGAGTTCAGTAATGAATTTTTTAAGAATATATTTTTATTGATTTCAGAGAGGGAGAGGGAGAGAAAGAAATATCAATGATGAGAGAGAATCATTGGTCGGCTGCCTCCCGCACGACCCCCCTGGGGATTGAGCCCACAACACAGGCATGTGCGCTTGATCGGAATTGAACCTGGGACCCTTCAGTCCCCAGGCTGATGCTCTATCCACTGAGCCAAAACAGCTAGGGCCCGTAATGAATTTTAAAAATTTATCTATTTGTTTAGTTAATATAAGCATATGATACAAAATCCAAAGGATTCAAAAGGGCAAATTGCAAAAAGCAAGTTTTCCTGCCTTCCCTTCTGTAGAGGCCATCATAACCAGCAGTTTCTATAAATGTTTCTAGAGATGTTATATGCATGTATAAACATACATATGTATATATAGCGAGTGGTTTTTTTGCACATGGGACATAGATTTCAATTGATTCATTAACTAAAAGGGAAATCCATAGATGTTATAACTGGTTGAAAGGTAAATTCAAGGAACAGACAAATATATAAACATCAAGAATACAGCAAAAAAGGAGCACTCATAACCACTTCCAGTTTGGCACTGTGAGATTGGAATAGATTTTTGGTCAATTAAAATCTTAAAATTAAAAAAAAAAAAAAAGAGTACTGCTTACAAGTGGATGCAAAACGGGTAAAACTGGTAACTATCCAGAGGGCAATGACCAATTGCATTCCACAGTACACAATTTCCTTTTCAATGAACAAGAACCTTTTGCATTACTTTCAGTTTTCTATCACTTACAGGATTATAAAAGAGCTCAAGGATAATAAAAGGGCGAGGTAACCTTAGAAAGCTGAGTCAGACAGTATACTCAGTAATCTTTTTGGTACATTTCAAAGTTGTTTCACAATTTTCCTCTGATAACACAAAACTGAACATAAAAAATGCAACACTCAGCCTGATTCTATAAATATGATGCCTTTCTTTAGGCATGTGTTATAGGCAGATAAGGCTCTGGATCAGGCCTTTCTGATCAGCACTCCCTTCAGGAGGGACTTAGCTGGAGCCTGACCTGTGAGCCCTAATAAGGATCAGAGGTGAAGAGGTAGGAGGCAGTGCTGGCAGAAATCTTATATTCATGAAGTCCTGAGGGTTCTTTTGAGAATTAACTCTTACTAACGAGAGGAAGCCAAACCTCACTGTATTAGAGATGCAGGCACTGAAGCTGAGACGTAATTGTGATGTTGGAAAAAGTGTCCAGTTCTCCAATTCATCTCCTGGCTCTTTCCAAAATTATACTCACTTATGGCGGTGTTGTAAACAAATTAAAATAGAGAAATCATTATAAAACTCTAAGATATTGGACCCAAAAAAGGAGAAACACATTCTCCCCCTTTTCAATTTTTTACATGAAGGCTGCAGTAAATCAGTAACTGGGGAGGTAAAAAATGAGGGGAAGGAAATGTCAAAAAATATTAAAAAGTAGATTAAACAGGTCATCAGATATCAACATCCATAACCAATTCGTGCAAGGGCCTTGGCCCCGGCTCCAGCCCGCCACCGTGGTCTGGGGCCTCTGCTGCCTCTGCAGCTTTGTCCAGAAGGAAGGATGTCTGTAAGGACATCTGGTCTAATTAGCATATTACACTTTTATTATTACAGATAGTATAGTGTATGTTGGCCTATGTCTACATAAAAATTGCAAATTTAAATATTTCTCAAATTCAGCTACCTCAGCAAGGGAATACTTAATGGACTCAAACTTCATGCTCATCTTCCTCCAAAAACTATTTTGATCTTTTCTTAAAGTAAGGGTTCTTTGTCTAAATTTTAACTATTGGTGCTCTCTACAGTTCTGTTAAAAGTCTATCTCTCATTCCACCTTCATTCTGCATTATATTGCTTCTAAGCTAGACAACCAGATTTATACTGATCATTCCTACTTCCATTTCTTTAGCCCACACCATACTTCTGATCTTTGGACCTTACTGTCAATTGCTTCCTGATCATTTCTACTTATATCAATCTGGTACCTCAATTTAAGAAACCCCAAACTGAACTTAACATTGACCCCACATCATAAACCTATTTCAGTTACTGTCTTTCCTACTTTGGGGACTGGAACCACCATCCACTCAACTGATCAAGTACACACCTGCATTTCATCCTCACTTCCTATTCTCTTTTCTCTACCCTACTGACATCCAATCACTCATGAATTCCTGCCAATCCTATCACCTGTATAGCTCCTGCATCTGCCCACTTCTCTCCTCTACCCTTACCTCTTAACAGGATTACCACAACAGCAATAATACTGACAATTACAAACACTATAGTTTAAGTGCTTCACATATATAACTTAATCCCAAGAGTTAGTTTCTATAATTATCATCCCTATTTTACAGACAGAAAATCTGACAGAGAAGTTACCTAATGTCAGAATCAGTACATGGGAGGCGGGGGGGGGGGGGGGGGGGCGTGTGTGTGTGTGTGTGTGGGGGGGGGTTGTCAAAATTTGAATCTAGGCCTTATGTCTCAAGAGCTCATTCTCTTAACCACTATGCTTTGGTGCTTCTCATTCCAACACATGCACTCACTGTCTTTCTTCATTATTTTTTTACCCAGCAGCCATAGTGACGTCTAAAATACTTCTCTTCTTACAACATTCCACCACTGGCCCACTTCCCCAGGAGAATTCATCCTGCTTAACACATTGCAGGCGGATCACGAGCACTCTCGTGTTTTCATATGACACAGTTTTTACAAAAATGTTAAAGGCATGCCTTAAAATTAAATACCCATTGCATTTTGAAGTTATTGATTACATGTTCTTGCAAGCTAATGTCTTTTTAAAGTATGATACTTTGTAAAACGTTTTTTGTACTCATTCAATAGAAACTTATCTGGCCACTGGGTAAAGCTAGCGATAAAACTACTGGTGCGCAATGTGTTAACAAGGTTGAAAGGCTGTTCAGGTTCCCACCTGCACTTATTTCCCCACCATACCTATCAGAGCAGAGATTGGTTAATTTTATCAGTAAAGGGCCAAGTGGTAAACATTTTAGGCTTTGCAGACTGTAACATCTCTGGTGCAATTATTTAAATATAAGCCTGCCATTTGAGTGCAAAAGCAGCCACAGACAATAGGTAAATGAATGAAAATGGCTATATTCCAATAACACTTTATTTACAAAGACAGGCGGTGAGGGAAGATTTGGCTCCTGACTCCTGCACTAGACTATAAATTCTACGAAAGGATGCGATCATGCTTGTCACCATTGCATTCTCAATGCTTATCCTGGCATGTAAACCCTCAGTAAATATTTACTGAATAAATAAATGAATATGAATCCTAAAAATTCTTCTTTGGTTTGAGAGAGATTCTGCGAAGCAAAAGGAAAGAGATC